GGAAGGGGCCCGAATGAGATGAGACACAGTCAGACTCCCCTTGCCCCCACACACACCGGTCAAATCATATAAAACAGACAGGCTGAGCTATCAGTACTCAAGGGCTGTACACTATGGGGAGAGTGGTCATACCCCCCCCCCCCCAAGAAACAAAGTACTGACACTGCTACACGAGGGCCACCCGGGGATAGTCCACATGAAAGCCCTGGCCAGAAGTTATGTGTGGTGGCCGGGGCTGGACAAAGAAATAGAGACCTGGGTCTCCACCTGCACCCCCTGCCAAGAAACCTGACCAGCCCCCCCGGCAGCCAGCCCGAGGAAGTGGGAGATACCCACAGCCCTGTGGGCCCGGCTACACATCAAATTTGCCAGGCCCTGCCAAGGGCAAACTTTCCTCATAGTGGTCGACGTGTACTCTAAATGGTTAGAGGTAATTATGATGAAGTCTGCCACCACCAAAGCAACAATAAGAGCCCTTCGAAAACTGTTCTCCACCCATGGGCTACCAGACATCCTCAGCTTCAACAATGGGCCACAGTTCACCTCACAACCATTCGAAGGGTTCCTAGCCCAACTAGGAATCAGGCACGCACTGTCAGCTCCTGCACAGCCGGCCACGAATGGACAGGCAGAGAGAATGGTCCGAATGACCAAGGAAACCCTCAGAAGAATGGGCAAGGGGACTGGCAGGAAAGAATCAACAGGATGCTGTTGGCCCAACACATCACGCCCCATGCGACAACACACCGCAGCCCAGCAGAGCTATTGATGGGCTGAAGACTCCGATCAATGCTAGACATGATTCACTCTAATTACAGCTCTGAAACCTTGGTAGACTCCACAGGAAAGTGTAGGAACTTTTCCGTAGGGGACCCGGTCTACGCCCACAATTATACAGGGGGACCCATTTGGGTGCCAGCCAAAATCACCAGGATCACCGGACCCAGATCCTATCAGGTAGAGACAGAGGAAGGAAAACAGTGGGAGAGGCACATAGACCAAATCAGAGGCCGGGTCCCTATCTCAGACAACCGGCCAGAAACCCGACACGGACAAACCGAACAGTCCCAGGCTGAGGCCCTACCCACAGAACTCAACAAAAGAACTAACTGCTTAGCCTCAAACCTGGACAGAACACGGGAACACTTGTCTTTCAAAGAAGAGGTCCCGCAGTGTACTTCTGAGGCCCAAAGCTCAACGGTCCCTGCCGCGCCACAAGACAACTTCAAGATGGTTCCACAGGCAGGGACCGGAGCAGCGGTGGACCCATCCACATGAGCTGCCGCCCCAGGAACAAGTGAGGTGCACAGGTCCAGTCGCACCCCTTGAAGCCCCACCTACCTACGTGATTATGTAAGGTATGCAAGTGCTGATTGCAAGAACAATAACTAGGAGGGGAGGGGTGTTAAGTACTACCATATATGGCCATAGAGTGGAGTCATCATTGGCCCAGCCACTGGGGGGAGAAATAAAGTCCCGTCAGTGGCTGAAGCTTTATAGCCAGTGCCTGCTGCAGCTGAGTAGCTTTTGGTTAAACACATACTAAAAGAGTTCTACCTGCTCCTGCCATGTCCTGCCTCTTATTCCCACGGATCCACTTAACAGCCACCTCTGGACCCCCAAAGATTTTCAAACAGAATCCAGAATTCAGGATCTGTTTAACACGTGTTCGCTCAACTCACCAGAACCCGAATCTCTTCTGAAGACTGGAAAAAATGTTTTCTATGGATATAGTGAAAGATGAACACAAGAAACAGAATCTCTGCTTTTGGGGGGATAATTGGGCGGAGGGGGGGGGGAGATTTCCAGACTGTAATGGTTAAAAGGCTGTAATCCTTTAGTGGAGGATATAGGATTACTGAATTCCCCAGAATTTCTATTAAAATTCCAGATGATTTTATAAATTATAAATTTATTCTTCAGTTTAATATACTCTCCATCCATCCTTCCTTCCTTCTTAAATAATACTGAAATATTTTACCAGGAAGGAAATCTGCTCAGATCCTCTTATAAATATTTGTGGATATGGATTTTTTTCCCCCTTTGTGCAAAATATTTCCTCCAACTCCCTTCCAGAAGAGGGAAGTTCATGTCAGAGGGTGGATTCTTAGGATGGAGTCCCAGGGCTGATTTCCCTCCCCGTAAATAAAATCCCCTTCCTCCCACGATCCTCGCACTCAAAACGTTGAGTTCCCTGGCAAACAGCAAACGGCAGGAATGGAGAATCCGATTCGTTCATAACAGAGATTGAGATTTATTGAGCTTGGAGGTTTATTTCAAATCAAGGCAGAGATTTGGAAAGGTGGGGAAAGCTGTGTTTATTTGGAAACAATATTTCTGTTCAAAGAAAGTTTTGTACGACACACATACAAGAGTTGGAGGGAGTTGCAGACAAAAATGCCCTCAATATTTCTAGGGTGGGAGAACTGCGGGGAGGGTCCTTTGTCCTTCAGCTGAGAATTGGGGAGGGGGACTGAGGAAGAGTCGCTGCTCAGACAGGGGGCCTCCCTGAATTCGGGGCTTGGGCCGGAAGAGAAGCGGGGATCGGGGGTCTTGCCTGGGCACTGGGTGGGGGGAAAACCCACTTGCTACCTTTCCTGGAGGGAAAGACTGACCAGAGTCCCACTCCCACCCTGGGGATCTCCCTCTCTCACTTGGGGTTGGACTAGAACAGGGGATGCCAACCTTTTGGACCTCAGGGACCACCAAACTCATAATTTTAGATCCCAGGGACCACTAACTGGTTCTGTGGACATGCCTAATTTGTGGGTGTGGCTTGGTCATGTGACTGGCTGGGCATGGCTTGTATGTAAATATTACATACTGTATTGATATAAATATTGAATTTCTTATAAAAAAAGAGCAACTTTTACTCAAAATCAGGCAAAGCAGGCAGGCAGATTGAGTTGCTCACAGAATCTCAGATTCATTCACAAATCTATCTATCTGCCATTGGCTAGATCAGTCTGTCACATAAAATTTGCTTGCAAGTAAACTCACAAAATTAACTCACAACACACCATGTATGTATTGATTTTTTTATATATAAAAAAGCAACTTTTATCCAAAATCAGGCAAAGCAGGCAGATTGAGTTGCTCATAGAATCATTCAGTGATCCATCTATCTGCCATCGGCTAGCTCAGACTCCCAAATTTGCTTGCCGTGAGTCTGCACTGAATTTGCTTGCAAACAAACCTTCAGTGCTAAGGGAGGTTCGGCTGTGCTTAGCTAGAAAGCAAGAAACCCAACTATTTCCTGCTTCCTAGCTAATCTAAATCTCCAGGCACAGCAGAACAGATGATCACCGGAAAAAGTAAAATAGCAACTTAGCAGACAAGTTTGCTGGGTAAGGAGTGAGTGGGCGGGAAGGGTTCCCGCGGGCCATGTGGGCTGAGCAGCCTTGTGTTTCTGTGCAGCCTGGATTAATTGCTTTGGGGGGGAGGTGCTCTGGGGGTGAGATTTCTCTGCAGCAAACCAAAATTTTCTCATGGCCCACCAGTGGGCCGCAGCCCACTGGTTGGCAACCGCTGGACTAGAAGATCTCTAAGGTCCCTTCCAGCCTTTGAGTATCCCTTTCCCCATCGGCTCTCCTCCCACCGAATATTTCCGCCCACCCAGCCCCTCCTGCATGGGGGGTGGGGAGAAGTTCTGGGACTGTCCATCAAAGGGGAAACTGCCGGGGACCCTCCTGGCTCTGGGCTGATGGATCCTCCCCCACAGACTCCCACCTTCCTGGGTGAATCCTCCGCTCGGCTATCTTGGGAAAGGCACCACTTTGCTTCATGGAATAAAAATGTGATTTCCCTCCTTGAAATACGACTCTCCCTGGCTCTGAATGTCTGGGTGAACCGGCTCCTTCCAATTCCTGCCCCTCGACCCCTCATGTTCAGGAACCGCCCTTTCTGTGGGTCAGGAATCAGGGTCCCCCTTTTCCTTGAAAACTCAGGACCCCGAGGAAAGATCCCGGAATCCAGTTGGGCCGTTTCACCTCCGCTTTGAACTCCTTTCCTCAGAGAACTTAGACCTCTTTCAGCAGGGAAAAATATCAAGTAATGTTTTGGAAGAAATTTTGCCAGTAGAAAAGTGCAAATATATTGTGGAATAATCCAGATAATCTCTTCTGTTGCAATAGGATAGAATAGAATTCTTTATTGGCCAAGTGTGATTGGACACACAAGGAATTTGTCTTTGGTTCATAAGCTCTCAGTGTACATAAAGAAAAAAGTAAAATGCATTCATCAAGAATCACAAGATACAACACAGTGATAGTCATAGGTTACTACTAAGCATACTAGGGAACAAATAAAACAATATAAATTGTAAAGATAGAAGCAACACAGTTATAGTCATAAGTTGGAAGAGATGGGTAGGTAATAGGAAGGATGAGAAGAACTTACTAAGGCTTTATTAAACGGTACCAATACTTCATGTGATTTTGATTCTATGCCTCCATTTATACAATCAAGGATTATATTAGCTTGTTTGGCTGCTGCTGCACACATGTGACTCATGATCATCCATTCGGACTCCCAAGGTCCCTCTCACAGTTACTGTTTCTGAGCCAGGTTTCCTGTAATCTGTTTTTCCTGCCCAGGTGTAAAATCTTTTCTCCACATTAACTTTCATTTTGTTGGATTCAACCTTTTTGGATCAAAAAGGCACAATATGCATACACATATAAATCTATAGACACGGTGGGTCACTGGTTAGAATGCAGTACTAGAGGCTGATTGTCCACAGCCAGTTCGATCCTGACATGCTCATGGTTGATTGAGCCTTTCAGTCTTCTGACGGCGCTAAAATGAGGACCCAGATTGCTAGAGACAATGTGCTGACTTTGTAAACTGCTCAGGGAGTGTGGTAAAGCATTGTGGAGTGGTATATAAGTCTAAGTGGAATTGCTATTGCTATAGTTTCTCCCAAGTGTGGATCCTTTTATGAGAAGTAGGATGACCATTCTGAGCAAAACTCTCCACATTTATATGGCTTCTCCCATATGGATCATCTTATGGGAAATAAGATTACATTTTTCAGTAAAGGTGTTTCCACACTCAATGCATTTATATGGCTTCTCCTGTGTGGCTTCTTTAATGGGAAATAAGATTACATCTATGAGCAAGGGTCTTTCCACATTCCGTGCATTTAAATGGTTTCTCTCCTAGGTGGATCTTTTTGTGTCTTCTAAGTCCACTGCTATGAGCAAAGATCTTTCCACACTACATGCATTTAAATGGCTTCTCCCGTGTGGATCCTTTTATGGATAGTAAGTCTACTGCCATGAGTAAATGTCTTTCCACACTCCATGCACT